TCCTCATTCCAGCCGTAATGCCCACTAAATCTGGCCGTCCAATAGTCAACACTCTTCATCACTACCACAAAATAATCACAGATTGATTTGACCACGGTAATCAGAGCGCCAACCTAAACCCACACTAAAACCATGGCTATAGCCACCGCCGTCTCTCTCGGCTCGCGCCGCAACCGCGCCGCCTCTCTATCTACTCCTCCGCCTGTCACTTTCGATCTTCTATCGCTTCTCCTCTGAAATTTGCTTCTTTCCGATCGAACATTTCTCTTAAGAAACCTAACTTTTGTGTCTCGGCATCTGCCGTGAGCATCGGAACTTCAGAGACAATCTCCCCGACTTCTTTCCTCGACCAGAGAGAATCGGGGATTCTTCATTTCGTCGAGTATCAAGGCCTTGGGAATGACTTGATACTGGTAATTTCTGCTCAAAGAATCATTCATTTGTTGGTTTTCTCGGAAAATGCAGGAAAATTGTTGATATGGATTGTTGCTTTTTGGAATAGGTTGATAATCGGAACTCGACAGAATCAAGGATCACAACGGAACAAGTGATGAAGCTGTGTGATAGGAACTTCGGTATGGGTGCTGATGGAGTGATTTTCGCAATGCCAGGCGTCAACCGTACCGGTTATACTATGAGGATATTCAATTCTGATGGTGGCGAGCCTGAGGTAATCTGCATTCTAATTTCTACTTGATTATCAAGTTTGCTTCTTTTTTGAAAAATGATTCTCCATTAGTGTTTTCTTGAGGTATGCAGATTAGAATTTGGTTCAAGTTATTATTGCTGTGCTCGTCTTCTAGATGTGTGGCAATGGAATGCGGTGCTTTGCAAGATTCATTGCTGAGCTTGAGAATTTAAAGGGAAGACATAGGTACCATCGGCCCCCTTTCTCTTTAACTGTTATGGTGGCATGATGCACTAGGCAGCCCCATGCTGCCCGCCTTGACCTGGGCGGCAGGGCAAGACTGCCCTACCCCTTATTTTGGGGCTTTCTCTTAAAATAATAATAAATAAATTAAACCATATTGTTTTGTTTTTCAATTTTTATAACAAATATAGGACAAACAATGTTGTTACTTGTT